TCATCAAAAAAAGATGGCGGCGCCCAGCAAACCAGCGGCCCGGTAGGACTTGTTCCACGGACCGGTACCGGTCCGTGGACTGGTGGTTGGGGACCCCTGGCATAAATATTTATACCACCCTCTTCTTTAAGTATCAGAAATCAGACAATGATTCAGAAGCTAATTTTTTTATTTTTTTACATTACCATCACCTTGTCTTCTGTCTTTTCAGAAACAAGCTCTTCAAATTCAGAGTTATTCTCAGTTAAATAAATACAGTATTGTACAAGTTTTTAAGTCTGCACCATTATAGAGATCCAATATACTATATTTTTTATGAATTGTTTTACTTGTAATTAAGTGTATAACTTGAAAGGAATATCTAAACAAACAAGTAGATAAAAAGAAAGCCAAATAAAAATTATTGTAGAATACAGAACTGTGTAGGAAGTTAAAACCCACCCCTCTTCTAGAAAAATAAAATATTCTAGGAAATATTAAAAGGATAGAATATTTATCTGAAAAGAGAAGTAGAAACTCAGAGAAGCAGAAACTCACCCCCGCACCTTTGTTAATGGGCCATTAAGGCCTGGGCCAGTCTATTCTACATAACAAAGATCTACCTCCTTCAGGCAGAGCCATTTAATTGCCCTTCATTGTACCACCCACTAAGTTTCAACTGAACTTAGCACACAGACAACCTACAAAGCTAGCTATGACTTCTGACAGCAACCAATCAGGATACTCTTCTTGTGTCCCAGGAAGTTCAAAGCCAGAGAAGGTAAAAAAATGCAGGGTCTCTCAACATCCCTTCCCTTTTCTTTGCCCAAGAGCCCCACAGCATGTGATCTTGTCCACCATAAATCATCTTTCCAAGCAGTCACCATGTTTCCAGTGTCTTTCTTCCCACTTGGAACTGAACCCAGAAGGATATTTCTTCCAACAACTGTAATGAACAACATCAAATTGGGCTACAAAGTGAGAAAACTAGTATTTGGGTGGGATTTTTGAGGTGTTGTATTATTAAGCATATTTACGTATTTACACATGGTTTTAATTCTCTGAAGGTCCCAAAGAAACTACTTCAGTATCTTTCTTGGAAGCAGTTTCATGCAAATATTGCCCACAAATTCTATAACTGATTGGAATGCTTAGGAAAATTGCAGATCAGTTAGAAGGAATAGGGGAATGGGGATACATAAAATAGAAACCAGGGCCTTCTCATTAAACAGTGTATCAGTATGTCATGTTCATACAACACACAATGTTATGATTTCTTTGGATTCAGAATAGTGTTCAACGATTGTATCATGTTTTACAAATCACAGTAACAGCTGTGCATCTAATATACCTACATGTTGTCTTTCAGTAGCTTTTGATTCTTTGTAACTATAATCCTTTAAAAACATACTTATTAGAATATTAGTGACTACAGCTGCTTTGAAAACTGTTCTTGGCTATTTCTGCAAGCACATTAATCTTTGCTGTCTGTGAAACTGTATCTACACATGCACTGATAAGCAGAAACAGCTCCTGAAGACAAGAAGAATTCCTTGCAAAAAATGGCCTTTCCTTAACTGGAGAAGTACTTTATTTGCTCCAATGCATCTTCAAATGTGCCCACATAGACCTAATGGTCCATAGTTCATATACTCAATCTGGTTTTGCAAATTAACTCATCACACCTGAACACCAGGTGTTCAGCTAAATTATTTTAGTTAGTGATGTACTTAATGCTCTATTTTTTCCCAGCACTCTAGCCTTCATTTCTTTACAATCATCTGGATGGTATCCAAACAGCCAATATAATAACCCTGATAATTGTGTTTCATTTAATAAACAATAGCTAAACACTTAAGAGTCTGAAAACCCACTCGTTGTAACTTTTATCTGTGTACTGCTATGGTTTTATTGACCGTTAATGCTATTTGCAATTCTCCTGGGAAGACGTGTATTCTGAAGAGTAGCACACCAAGAAGCCACATCGTACTACATTCAGCACACCACTGCTCCTTCCGAGCCCCTTCCTTTGACTTTTGTTTGTTCCCGTCATAGCAGTTGAGGAAAAACAGCGTCAAAAGGGGAGGGGCCACGAGAGTAGGGAAAGGTGGAGGCCATAAGAAAGATTGGGTTCCTGGCGCATTATCTGCACCTGAGTGGTAAACGCCTTATCCTGAGTATTTTGGTTAGGGAAACCGACCTTTTCGCACAATTTGATTTTCGGGCAGGTGGAGAGCAGTGTATATGCGGGTTTCTTTCTCTTTTCCTTCCCAATTCCCGTGAGGAGAAGGAAGAGGAGGACGCCACTGTTGCTGTTGTGGCCAATTCATTTGCCTGAAAGTCGTGTTTTGCATAACAAGAGAAAGGTGTGCGTCGTGCATGCCCGGGGACAAGCATTGAAGCAGCGGGGGAGGAGGCTTCTCCGGCAAGTAGCATGCATGGCTGGAAGCTCCGTTAAGATGCAACCTGCGTGTGACAGGGCCGACTCGCTGCTCCATGACCGTAACGCCACAGACGCCAGAGGCCAGGAGCAGCAAGTGCAGTTGCGGCAGAGGCTGAGGGAACTACCGACGCTCCTCCGGAGTGGACTCACGCTGCGGAGAAAGCGCTCAGACGGCGGAGGCCGGGTGAGTGAACGACGCCGGGGGCCGCGTGCTACCAAGAATTTTCTCGTCCCTGTTAACAGAGCTTGGCCTCAGCAAGCCAGTGGGTGACTTGGTACCCAAGGAAGAACCCTCGTTTTTATGTGTGCTGTGAGGCATTTTGCACTTTGCTTATTTTTAAAGTTAAAAAAGAGCCCCGACATGCAATTGATACCCTGCTATTTCATGCATAACTACTACGAAAATAAAATAATTGGCATTAGGAATGGACAGTAATGATATCTAGTAAGAGGGTCGTATTCCAGCCTTTAAACCGCCGTAAGGGAAGTCTGCTTTAATCCACGTGAGATTTGCAAACATGTAATCTGTGTAGCATGTAATGTTTGAGGGGAGGGGACTATTGACCTGAGTTCTGTGAAATTAGGCATCCGCGACTGCAATTGGAATGGAGGCCATGTTGCAGGGAAGATGTGAAGAGATAATGCAGTTCTTTGGGAATAATAGTTCACTCAAGAGCAGCTAGGTTTGCAGCTGTGGGTTATATGCATCACCGAAATCAATGAAATTGTATCCTAAGTAAACATAGATTGTATCCAACAATATAACATTTTTTTTAAAAAAAGAATGGCCTTGAAGCTTGGGCTGGGAGAGTTGAAACAGCCTTAGAGTTCAATCAATTTATCAGGGTAACAAGTTTTAGCTGGCTATATAGTTTTGCATTTCTAGTCAATTTCTTGATTCAGTGAAATATTTACTGTTAACTATCTACACTAAAATAAGCCACTTGATCTGTGAGGTACATCAGTCAATATATATTGATATCTTTCACTTATTTACAATTTAACTTTATATATAATTGCTAAGGCTATCCATTGCAAAGGTTAGTCTTCCTAATCAGACCCAGGCCTCGCATAGAAGCATGCGAGTTGGCCAGTTTGAAGAAGCTTTAATGCAAATATTAAAGAATATTCATGGATATGGGCAACATACCTAGAATTAGGAATTGTAGCTGGTTGGTACAGTCAGTATCCCTAGTACACAAGTAGCCTGAAGCTATTAATTACTAGTTTTGTATTTTGCTCCACAATTGTGTATACTGCATATAGTTAGTCTTAGATTACTACCACATTTGAGCTGAACATTTGTTGCTAAGTGAGATGTTTGTTAAGTGAGTTTTGCCCAATTTCATAACCTTGTTTTGCCACAGTTAAGTCAATTACTGCAGTTGTTAAGTGAATTTGGCTTTTCCTTTGACTTTGCTTGTTTAACAGTTGCAAAAGTGGTTACAGGACAGCAGGAGATATTCCAGCCAAGCACCTGAATTTTAATCACATGACCATGGGGATGCTGCAACAGTCATAAGGGTGAAAAATGGTCATAGACTTTTTTTTTAGTGCCATAATTTCAAACAGTCACTAAACAAACTGTTGTAAGCATATTTTTTTTCTAGATCTGATGTAGTTTTCCTGACATTTCTGGACAAAAATGAGGATGTAGAGTTGAACTTGAGATTTAAAATTGAACTTGGACAATCAAATCTCTGGAGCCACATCTTTTCCTTCTCCCCTAGATGAAGCAAGCACGCGTTGCACTGTGCATTATTAGAAGATGACCCTGTAAGAAAAATGGAGGATATCTCCTAAAATGATGTTTCCTGTCAGCAGTTTGAATAGGCATTTCTAATTAAACTAAGAATTGAAAAAAGTTTCCTATTTAGATTGAGAAATCCTTCAGAAGAGGGTGGTGGGATAGCTGTAATTTTGTAGACCTCTTGTTCAGTGTCATTAACTGAGGAGTACCCATAGTTAATAACAAGCAGTTGTAATTGCACTCAAAAGCCAACCTGGCAACAAAGTGCAGTTTATATAGCAATAGTAATACCCAGCAGGTACCATTGTTCTTCATGTTGCAGCATTCTGAACTAGTGGTAGCTTCCATGCGATCTTCAAGGGCGCCCTATGTAGATTGTATGGCAATAATTCTGTCTTTAGGTGACCACATATGAAGAGCCTCCTAATTGAGCAAAGGATAGTCCAGGAGAACCTAAACAAGGCCCACCTGGCCACAGCTATCACCTGTCTTTCAGCAGTAGCTGCAAGTCCAAAAGGACCCCCAATTATTTATTTATTACAATTATATAGCTGCCCATCTCACAAAAATAAATTCGAGTGTCATTCAACAATGAATGAAAACAATACATAAAAATAGTCATTGTTAAAATTTCACACAAACATCATTAAAAAAATAGAAATGGTACAGCACAGGAGAAAGTAATTACCAATCACCATGATGGAATTATCATTTCACTGATCCCCTGAGACACCAAGGCCTGGTGACAAAGCCAGGCCTTGAGACATATAAACAGCAGGCTTTGGGTTAGCCTCACTTCAGGGAGGGGAGAATATTCTACAAGGTAGGCCCATAACAAGTTGCCCAACAGCGTTGAATGTGGAAGATGCAGCCTGATCCAAGATCAAGAATGATAATATCCCTGACCCCTAGAGAACCAAATGGTCATGTTAGGATTGAGCCAAAGTTTTTTGTCCATTCAAATTGCTTATTCGACAGTATTTCACTATTTAATGTAGTGTCAAGTTCTCTTACAAGCCTGTATGTTTCTGTATACATAAAAGTTATTTGACTGCACTGTGATATAAGGTAAACATTTTCTTTGAATATTATTTGCTCACATGAATGATATGTGATTGCCCACCCACATGATAAAGAGCCATAAACATAGGTTTTTTTTTTGGTAATTTCCGGACATCCCTTTATCCAATAAGCATAGACAGTGGAGAAAGGAACACAGGCGATGCTACAGTTTTCATTATCTCTAAAATGATGCCATACATGAATATATGGAAAGAGTCTTATCAGATTGGTGGGAAAGATTATTTTCTGGTATTCATTATTGCACTACAGTAACGAATATAAGAAAGTACTCCAGAAGGTACATTTCTTCCCAGAACAACTTTTTCTTTCAGTGGAAAAAATGTGAGGAAATTTCTGCCTTGATCCTTCCTTCTGAATCTGGATGTAATTGTAAGCTTCTGTTGATTACATTTGGCTTGAAATATTATTAATAAATCTAAAACATACATAGGTAGCCATGATCTAAGCTGTTGCATAGCCATATCTCTTTTCCCTTATTTTTATTTTGTTCTGATCAAAGAACACTCCTGGAAAGAGTTTTAATAGGAATGTATTCTTACTTTTGTAAGAAATTGCCTGGATACTAATTGGGATTCAAGCCCTTAATGGAACTAGTAATCTGTAAAAGAATAAATGGGAAATTATTTTGTATAAACTTAAACCACTGTACTGCACAGAGAAAAATTATATTCATGAAAGCTTATGCATAAATTTCAGGAATATAATGAAACTTTGTACAGTAGAACAGTACCATAGAACAGTAGAGCTGTCAACATCTTATTTTGAAAAAAATGATTCCTTATTTAGAAGAATCTCTTCTAGTATAAAATGAATTTAGACTAGCACTCTAGTCATTATCAAATTGGCAGGCTGCAGGCTACTAAAAAGATTCTTAGATCATCCAACTTGGATTGGAGGTGACTGATGGGGAAGAGAAGGAACAGCTGGGTCCAGTGCCTGACACGTGAATGTGTAGAAGGCAGAGAAGAGGAGAGCAGTGGAAATGTGTGGGCCGATCCTTGGGAAGGAAGAGCCACCACTGCTAACAAAGTCCCACCCTAGCTGTGCTGTCCCAGCCAGTCTATGGGAATTGGATAGTTACTTAGGAATTATGAGCTATCACCCTTAAGGGAATGGTAAATGTAGTTAAAGGTATCCTGGGAAATGTAGTTCATGTCACGTGGCCACATCTGTAATCCCAATTGGTCACTAATTTGACCCTCGATGGGTTGGGGGAGTTTTTCCTCACTTTGCCTGAACTCCAAAAGTCCCGGTGCGCAGCCCGTTCCTGCATTCCAAGCACCCAGGCCAAGCTGCAGCTGTCCCTCTCTCGCCAGTGCCATCTCCAACAACAGCAGCAGCAGTGGCGGGAACCATGGAAGCGTTTCAGCTGCTTCTCAGGTGGAGGAGCCACCTCCGTAACTTCCATGGTTCCCGCCGCTGCTGCCGCTGTTGTTTCAGATGCCTCAACAAAGGCAGTAGCAGCCGTGGAATACCTCAAAGTCTACAGCAGAGAGAACAACGTATATGTTGGATTTGTCATGGGAAAGGCAAAGCTAGCACTGCAAAAAGTTCATACTATACCGCAGGTGGAACTTTGTGGAGCGGCGCTGGTAGCAGAACTATCAGACACAATAACGAAGATGATAGATCTTCCCTTAGAACCCACCACCTTCTATACAGACAGCAGAGTGGTACTGGGTTATATCTACAATGAGAGTAGATGCTTCTACGTCTATCATGAGCAACGGAGTTGAGCGGATCAGGAGATCTTCTAAACCAGTTGCAGTGGCAATATGTTCCAATGAATCAGAACCCTGCAGATCATGTGACAAGGTCTATTCCTGCATCCCAGTTATCAACTTCTACCTGGCTAAAAGGCCCCAGGTTCTTGCGGCGTACAGACGCCTTGAAGCCAGACACACCCAATTTGTATGAACTCCTAGATCCAGATAATGATGGTGACATTCAACCCCTAGTCAAGAAGGTCAAACCAGTTGTCAGCCTAGCAACGACGTTCCAACACGAGAAGATAGGTCCCTTAAAACCTGCTTGCTTTGAACGCTTCTCCCAATGGAAACTTCTTGTACTGGGAATAACTGTGCTCATCTGCACAGTCGTCCGTCTCCTCGGTCATCAGAAAGGCTTCAAGTCGTACTTTCCAGACCACTGTACTCATGCTGAGAGATGAATATTGAGGAGTGTACAACAAGATGCATATCGATCGGAATACGGCTGCCTGAGTGTGGGGAAGCCCATGCCACAATCTAGTCCACTTCTGAGACTGAACCCCTACCTCGGCGACTAGGAGGTACTGCGAGTAGGAGGTCGCCTACACAAAGCAGAAATAGACTCACCAAGCAAGCACCCCA